TTCAGTTTTAGTTGCTCTCCTCTGCATCCTTTTTAAAAACCTTATCGACTTATTTTTAATGTGGAATTTTAATTTGATTCCCAAAGTCAAAAAAGATACACTCAGAGAAGTTGACTCTCTCACCTGTCCCTTCATCCTGTCTCCCTACATCTTGTAATCACTTCATTAGTTTTTGGTTTATCCTTTGTATTTCTTTTTGCAAAAACATTTAGGAAACATGCATGTTTTCTTATGTTCCCTAATTTCTTACGTAAAAAATAAGCTATGTATGCTCTTTTGTACTTTGCCATTTTCACTTAAAAGTATATCCTGGGAATTACTTCCCATCAGTTCACAGAGATCTTCCTTCTTTTCACAGCTGCCCAGTACTCCACTATGTCTATGTACACAGTTTAGCTAGCCAGTTTCCTGTATTGGGGCACTTAAGTAATTTCCAATATTTTGCAAATACAAATAGGGCTGCAGTGAATAACTTCATGCATATGGATTTTCATATTGTTGGAGGTATGTCTTAACAATAAATTTCCAGAAGTGAGATTGCTAATTCGAAGGATAAATACATTGTAATTTTGTTGGACATTGCCAAATTCCTCTCTGTAGGAATCGTGCCATTTTGCATTTCTGCCAGAAATGTCTGATACTGTTTCCTCATGGCTTCTTTCCTCTTTGCATCTTTTACATCAGCGAATGATCTAGTTGGATGATTTGCAGAAGTTGGGGGCTGAAATAAAAGTCTTATGAATGATGAAGCTTTTGACCTTTTGCACAGTATCATTTAAATGGCTCTCATATAGGGCGCCTGGGTGGCTCAGTTGGTTAAGTGACTGCCTTCGGCTCTGGTCATGATCCTGGAGTCCCGGGATCGAGTCCCACATCGGGCTCCCTACTCAGCAGGGAGTCTGCTTCTCCCTCTGACCCTCTTCCCTCTCGTGCTCTCTATCTTTCATTCTCTCTCTCTCAAATAAATAAATAAAATCTTTAAAAAAAAATAAAAAAATAAATGGCTCTCATATAAATGGAATCATATAAATGGATATTGGAATCCACAGTATTATATAAATGGAATCCTACAACCAGTTGAGAAGGTTTCTTTTACTCAACATAATGCCTTTGAGATTCATCCATGTTTTTGTATGTATCAATAGTTCATTCCATTGTATTACTCAGCAATTTTCTATGTGATGGATATATCACAGTCTGTTCATTCATTATCCAACTGAAGGACATGTGGGCTGTTGTTTACAGTTGTGAGTGATTACAAACAAAGCCACTATATGAACATTCATGTACAGGTTTTTGCATGAACATCAGATTTCATTTTTCTTTTTCATTTTTTTTTAAGATTTATTTATTTATTTATTTGAGAGAGAGAGAGAAGAAGCAGGCTCCCCGCTGAGCTGGGAGCCGATGCAGGGCTTGATCCCTGGACTCCGGGACCATGACCTGAGCTGAAGGCAGACACCTAACTGACTGAGCCACCCAGGCACCCCAGATTTCATTTTTCTAGGATAAATACCTAAGAGTGGGATTACTGGCTCATATAAACATGATGTTATATGTGTCATATAAACATACACACATGGGGTGCCTGGGTGGCTCAGTCGGTTAAGTGTCTGCCTTCAGCTCAGGTCATGATCTCAGGTTCTGGGATCAAGCCCCAAGTCAGACTCCCTGCTCAGCGGGAGTAGGCTTCTCCCTCTCCCTCTGGCCCTCCCCCCTCTGATGCTCTCTTGTGCTCTCTCTCCTTTCAAATAAATAAATAAATAAACAAATAAAAATAAATAAATAAAATAGAATTCTAGGATGACATTTCTTTTCTTTTAGTACTTAAAAAGATGTTCCACTGCCTTTAGACCTTCATAGTTTTGATGAGAAACCTCCAGTCATTTGAATGTTTGTTCCCTAATATATAATCTGGCTGCTTTGAAGATTTTTTCTTTACTTTCAGGTTTTAATTTTTAGTTTTATGATGATATTCCTGGGTATCAATTTCTTTGTGTTTATCCAGTTGGGATGTTCTGAACTTCTTGAACCTACAGATTTATATCTTTCATCCACTATGGGCTGTTTACAGTCATTTTTTTTTCTTCACATAGTTTTTCTGGACTGCATTCTTTGTCTTTTCCTTCTGGGATTCAAATCACAGAAATGTTAGGCCATTATTGTCTCACAAATCCATGAAGTTCTCTTTTCTTTCTCTCTCTCTCTTTCTCTTCAATGCCTTTTCTCCTTCTAATTCAGGTAGAATGAAAAAAAAATTGAAGAAGCAAAATCCAGAGTATCTCCTCACCTTCTGTCCTGTAGAGACCCCTGAGTCCTATTCCTCAGACCAGAAAGAGGGTTCTTCTGTAGAAACTCTTCAAATTTGCACCCAGACCTAGGTGTCAGGTTTTAGGCTCTCCCTGAGTCTAGGCCAGGAAATATCAGAGAAAATAAATAAAAACAGGAAACTCACCACTGGTTTGGTGTTACTTAGAGTTCCCTGACCAGCCTTATTCTTCTGAGTCCTCAGATAGCTTTTCCACACATTCCATCCAAGATCCTTAGCTGTTTCAGTGGGAGAGACAAAGTGAAACCTGCTTACTCTCAAAGATTTCCCATCAATAAGCTCATTTGAGAACAGTTTAAAAGTGGAAGATTATTTAGAGAAATTTTTTAAGCAAGTATGGAACAACCAGTGAGGAATGTAAATAAACTAAATTCCTTTTTTCCCCCCATTTCTTTGCCTGTTGCCAAAAACTTTCCTCAAACCAGCCATCTTGTATGTTTTCCAAATTTTGTTTTAAAAATATAGGCATTTGGAAATGATTTTTTAAAACACAAATTTGAAAACCAGCATTATTATTTTTATTCTTTAATTTTTTTAAAAAAGTATTTATTTGAGAGAGAGAAAGAGCATGTGAGTGGGAGGAAGGGCAGAAGGAGAGTGAGAGAATCTCAAGCAGACTCTGCACTGAACACAGAGCCCAGAGCCTGATGTGGGGCTCCATCGCACAACCCTGAGATCATGACCTGAGCTGAAACCAAGAGTCAGAGGCTTAACCAACTGAGCCACCCAGGTGCCCTGAAAACCAATGTTATTTTTTTAATATTAGTTTTTGAAGTACTAGAGATATTTTGATGTGCTATATGAACCTTTTGATCAAACGGATGTGACTAATGGATCTGAGAATTCATTTTGAATAAAATTTGTAGTTGTTATTGAACAATCCTTATTAAGTTGAGTTTTAACATAGGTGTTCCTTAAACTTCTCATCTTTAATCAATTTTTCATTGTAAGAATAACAAAACATACAATTAAATTAAACCAACTTCCTTGAGGCTCTACAAAGCCATCAGTTTGTATTATGACTGATTCTTGAGCCTTATCATCCGATCTGTCTGCCCTACATGCTTATTCAGGACTCACTTCACAAACAAGGATATCCAAGTGGTCAGTGAAAAGGATTGCCACTTCATTAGTTAATAGAGAAAACAAAATCAAACTGCCATGCAATACCACCAAAATAGCTAAAATGAAAAACATAGACAGTATCAATTATTGGCAAGAATATGGCATAACTGGAATTTTCATACTGTTGTCAGGACCCTTAATTTGGTATAACCACTTTGGAAAATAGTTTGGCAGTATCTTCTAAAGCTAGTACTATATGTACTTAGACCTTAGGACTGGCAGCTTCATCCCTTGGTATATATCAGTCAGAAACATATACATATGTTCACCAAAAAGAATGTCTGTGAGTGTTTAAAGTGGCCTATTTATATTAGCCAGAAACTGGAAACTAACCAAATGCATATCAGCTATAGAACAGTTTAATGAATTGTGTGTAGTCGCACAGTAGAATATTATACAGAGCTAAGAATGAAGTGCAACTACTTGTAACAACATGAATGAATTTCACAAGCATTATGTTGAACAAAAGAAGTTTGTATCTTGATCTGGGTGTTGGTTTCCCGGGTATATGCACGCTGTGAAAATTCATCCCTGTTATACACTTGGGATTTGTGCAGTTTTCTATATGTATGTTATATACTCCTGTAAAAATAGTATACTAAATTAATTAGATCTTGATTTTTTGTTTGTTTCTTAAAGATTGGCTTTTAGTATATCTACTTATTGGTGGCCCCTTATGGAACTCATTAGATGGAGTAGTTTTTCAGTTGATTCAGTAGAGAGGATCTTTTCGTCACAAAACTAGGATTGGTGTCGGGGCGCCCAGGTGGCTCAGTTGGTTAAATGGCTGCCTTCGGCTCAGGTCATGATCCCAGGGTCTTGGGATCGAGCCCCACATCGGGCTCCCTGCTCAGTGGGGAGCCTGCTTCTCCCCCGCCTGCCATTCCCCTCTGCTTGTGCTTGCTCTCTGTCTCTTTGTCTCTCTAGCTCTCTCTGTGTCAAATAAATAAATAAATTCTTTAAAGAAACCGAAAACTAGGATTGGTGTTATCTTCAGGAGAATGATTTATTTTAATGCCAAAAGCACACAATTGATTTTTAAATAGCCCAAATATCTTTATTTATTTTTAAAGATTTAACTATTTGAGAGAGAGACAGAGATAGAAAGCATGTATGTGGGGGCAGGGGTGGCGGGTTGCAGAGGGAGAGGGAGAGAGAATTTTAAGCAGATCCCTACTGAGCGTGGAGCCCGATGCAGGGCTTGATCCCATGACCCTGAGATCATGACCTGAGCTGAAATCAAGTCAGACGCTCAACCGACTAAGCCACCCAGGTCTCTGTAAACAGCTCAAATATCTTTAAAGGAAAAAGTAAGGTGTGCTGCATACAGAACTCATCTAAGACCTTCCACAGGCCCCTAAACCTGTGCAGTGTGGGAGCCCAGATAGTACTAGAGTAGATTGGCCATTGTGTTGACCCTTTCACACTGTACTTGTAATAAATGTGGGTGTAGGTAAACACTAGTCATATAACATAATTCTGTTTGTCTCTCCCCAGCCCCTCTGTTTTGTTTTAGGGTTTTTTTTAAATTATTTGTTTTTCACAGATCTTTTCACAGATGCTGCTGAGACTGAAAAAATGGCCAAAAGTTTAGAAGATTCTGAAGGAGTCTGTTTTGTTCCATCTTTTAGTGGATTGCAGGTATTTTATATATTTATTTTTTCAGTCCGTGACAACTACAGAAATTTTTCTCCTCATACCCACACTCAAAATTATGTACCTGCTACTCCCTTACCTGAAAATTTGGCAACTGAGCAGTATGAAGGTAAAGGTATGTTCCAGGGCTGAGGAGCTGTGACTTAGCACAGATTGCATGAGAAAGCACAGCACATTCAGCCTAGAGCTCCACCCATGTGGAAATGAGAAGTTGGCAAGTTTGGTATAGAACTTTTACATAAGACTTAGCATTACTTTATCATAACCAAAAGCCATTTCCCAGTGGGGAAAGATATATCCGTATATTGGCATTTTTTACTTAGAGGAAGTGTCCCATTGAGAATTAGAAAAATAATGTTAAGATTACACACACACACACACACACACACACACGTATATTTTGCAGTTATTTATTAAGTTTCATTAACTTTTATAAAAAAAATCAAAATTTCTTTTGGTTAACTGTTGTGGTGGAGTATTGGTTACTTTGCCTAATCAAAAGTGAACCCGGTAAGAGACTTGGCTTTGTAATATTTAACTTAGTATTTAATTGAAAAATCCGTGATATTGCCTTTGATTTTAGCATATTGTTATAAAGACCTTTAAAAAACTTTTCAGGTATATTATTATGAACAAATTCCTTTTTTTGGAAGGCTTATACTATTCTTTTAATCCACCTCTAAATATGTTTCCTTTCAAAAAATAAAAATTTCTTTTACTTCTAGTCCATCCCATATTCAGGCAATCAGTTAAAAAAGCCCCAAATTTGAAAGTTTGGATAATATAACGTAGAAACTGATGAAAAAGGATTAGATCAGGGTGTTTCAAATCTCTAAAAATATATTTCCAATCTAGGCTTTTAATAGGCATTATTTTAATATCTGTAATAATTTCCTTCTATATACATTACCCTAAAGGACTAAAAGTTTATAAACTACATAATAGAAATTGCAGTGTGTCCTCTTTAGGGTAATATGAGGACTGAATAGTATCTATCCTAGGACAGGGGATGAAGAATATTTGTTGGATTGAGGTTTCAGGAGGAAGCTTGAGATGAATAGTTGTCATCAGCCAAGGTAGGACTTAATTAGGCTACTGTGTATTCTTCCCTTTTTAGAAAAATATGCTCAGGGACTTAATAGTGACTTTATCTTGGCAGCTCTGTTTTTAACTTCTGCCTCAGTCCATATGCTTGTAAAAATAATATCAAATATATGAGAAAAAGTATTGCTAAAGCCCAGAAGATTAGGCAAAACTCTCACAGCTGTGGTTTTTAATTTCATGTTAATAAAAAATGTCCCCGTCCTGCCATGACTGCAGCCTGGCAGTATGTGGGGTTTGAGAGGGGTGGGGGAGGGCTGCATACCAAGTAGTTCCCAATGTAGCACTGAAATGCCTCAGTGGAAACCGAAAGTGAGTTCAGACAATACTGTGTTGATACTAAGCTGTTTGAAAAATAGGAGGGAGATCACTGATAAGCGGCCTGTGTCAACAACTAAAGAAAATGAGGGATAGGGGAAATGGAGGGGAGGAAGGGTCAAGTATCTGAGATTCTGCCTTTAATTTTAGAATATTGTTATGGCCATAGATAACAGGGGGCAAGATATTAAAAGATCCCAATAGCCTCCATTTCTCCAGGGAGTCTGCTGAGACAGGGGTGTTGGGGGCACTTTGAAGAAAGTGGGAAATCTAGGACAACTAGCAAGGGGTGGGCTAGAGCATGGGGGCCATAACCCGGGATGGCATCATTTGGTGCAGTCATTGTGGCTTCGCTGCGGCAGGGCTTGTGGTTTGTGGGGGGAGCTACTAATGGAGAATATCCATGACAGGCATCAGAGGCAGGAATCAGTGGCTGTCTGCTTAACTTGAAAGTGACCGTGATGGTGGCAATGATAGGATGGACAGAACTCTGACCAAGTGTCAGTCCTCCAAGGGTGAGGGTTCTTAGGTTTGCCTGGAACCTAAGCCTCTTAGGCTTGCTTATCCTACCCTGAGAGGAGCTGGTGGTTCACCGGTATTGGAAAGAAGTCAGGCAACTGACTTTGCAGTTCTCAATGTTCTTTGTGGTTTCTTCTCTGTGGGTCTGCTTTTCTCATTACCAGCACTGCTCTGTATTCTTTCTTCCTCATAACCTCTGCTTCATTGTCATTATTTTCCTCATACTTTCTGCTTTTCCATAATTTGGAAATACACACAACATTCTTCAACTTTGTGCCTTTTAGCTTCAGTTCCCCCTGTTGAGGGTCTTTTTCTGAGATCATCTTTTCTGAGAGATCTGAGAATCTGACTGGAGTGCCTGGTCCTCTCAAGCGAGCGTTGGACAGATTTTAAGTTTTAAGTTTTTAGAACTTCTCGGAACTGGTTACGGTTTAGGAGAATTTATTTACAGTAGAAGGAAGAACTCCGAAGGCATAGAAAGGGTTATGAAGAGAGTCAGTAGTGGGAAGGGTTTTGGTAAGAATTAATAGTAATATAAAATTGTAGTGAATTCTTGCTCTGTGTCAGGCACTGTTCTAAATGTCATGCATTATCTCATTTAATCCTCAGTAACTCAGTAAGGCAGAAGATCCTCTTACCATCCCATTCCAAAGATGAAGAAACTGATTTAGAGCTCTTAAATCACTTGGCTGGTCTCACACAGGTAGTGAGCGGCAGAGCTGGTTTCAGGGCCCAGGTGTTCTGATTCCAGAGTCCAGGTTCTTAACCACTCTCCTGTACTGGTTCATGGTATGGCATAAAATATGACAGTGGGAATACAAAATAGATGCCAGAGGAGTTTGTGTTTAGGTTCATGGTTGACAAGGGGCAAGAGAAATTAACCATCCTGCAAATCCCCAGCAGATTAGGCTAAGATCCCAGGGGTGACAAGGGCCTGTGGGGGCAAGCAGTCTATGCCTTGGTCATAGGTTAGCTTAGGTTAGCTTAGGCCTCCAAACAAAACTTGACTGAGTCCTGCTGTTCCTGGTTGGTTGATGGTCTGGGAGGCTTACTCAGTGGGATTGGCAGTGACAGATTGGAAGTATGGCCGGAGACTGTCTGCCCTGGCAAGGTGTGACCAGGCCCAAAGGACCTTGCCAGTGTTTTTCCTGCCATATCATCCCAAAGACAGACTCACTTGGACTAATATGGGGGCATTGTAACCAAAAAGAAATTTGTGGGTTTCTATGGAATTTATTACCTCTCAAATTGGCCTATTACTAATTAATTGTAAATTATGTGCATAGTTATGTTTACAAAAGTGATTTCAGGCCAGTCATACCAGGATTTTATGTGGTATATTAGAAGAAAATATTTTTATGCAGAAAATACATAGCACACAACTAGGGACTAAATGAACAGGCTGAATCTGATCTTTGTTTTATAGTATTATACCACCTGATACAGGCCAGTGTGACTGTATAAATAAGGTTTCACTGAGTGAATCACCAAAACATGTTAATATATTTGAAAAATAATCAGGATAAACTCATAATAGGAGGACAGTCACAACTACAGTAAAGATAAGATGTAATATGGAATTTCTTCAGTTAAGTAATGAGGAAGAGTATTATTTGTTCATTGATTAAACAAATGTGTGAGGATCCCCCGTGGGGGCCAGATGCAGTGCAAGGCCCTGGAGACACATAGGAATGAGTTTCCACAGGGAAGATAGACTTTTAGCAAATGTTCACACAAATATACGTGATTATAAATATATAATGTGAAGCTCTAGGGTTCCATAAAAGCACTGATGGTGGCTTGGTCTTGTCTCTGGGATCCGAAGTTTTCTCAGAGGAATCTGAGCCAAGATTTGGAAGGGGAGTAGAATTAACTAGGAAAAGGGGTGGTAGAAAGTTTTCCAGGTAATGAGATGATGTCTCAAGGCCCTGAAGCTGGAAGGCGCTTTTCCTCGGGCCCATCATTTCCTGATAGCACTAGTACTTCCCTCTGTTGCGACCTCATATCATACATTGAAACCATTCTTCTGTCTTTTTCCTTGTGAGATTATGAGCTCTGGCAGGGGTCTTTGCTCTTCATCTTTGTGTCCCAGAATTCTGGGGATGCAAAGATGAATACAAACTTCATCCAACATATACATAATTCCAACTCAAGACTTTGGCTCTTTTAAAGACAGAAGTTAGGCTGGATCATTTTTCCTATTAGGCAATAAGACTATTAAGCCAAGAAACAGAAGAGTTTGAATGTCTGACAACAGATTAGGTGTAAGTTATGACACTGAAAAACATATTCTGCCTTACAGTTTTTTATCTTATGACTAATGGATATTTTAAAAAAAACACTCTACGAAAACAATTCTGGTTTAAAAACTTTACAGATGGGGGCGCCTAGGTGGCTCAGTCGTTAAGCGTCTGCCTTGGCAGACGTATCGTATTATTAAAAAATAATATGATCTTTTTTTGTAAAAGAAGGACATGCCTTCTTTTATTTATAGGTATTATATAATGGTAGGTATGAATATTCATGCATGTGTATATTTCATAAAATTAAATGAACATGGACAAAGGTGTAGAAGGATATTTACCACATTGTTAATATGGGACATTGTTCCCTGGGGAGAGGATGAGAAGGAAGACAGGGAGAGAGGAATATCAAAAGCGTGTACTTCAAAAAGCCAACCACCTGAGGCGCCTGGGTGGCTCAGTCGTTGAGCGTCTGCCTTCAGCTCAGGTCATGATCCCAGGGTCCTGGGATCGAGCCCCGCATCGGGCTCCCTGCTCCGCGGGAAACCTGCTTCTCCCTCTCCCACTCCCCCTGCTTGTGTTCCCTCTCTCGCTGTGTCTCTCTGTCAAAAAAATAAATAAAATCTTTAAAAAAATTAAAAAAAACAAAAACTTTACAGATGGAGAAAAGGGGAAATACTAGGATTGCTTTTCATTCCTTCTTGTAAAGCTAGACATTTAATAGTTTGTTACTCTGTAAAAAAAAATAATAATTTATTACTCTTCTCTTCGTGTAAGTTCAGACAGAAGGTATAGCTAAGTCCAATACTTATGACTCAACCTTGCTTAAGTCCTATTAAAGAGTTACCCTAACAGTTGACATTTTTTTTTTTTAAGATTTTACTTATTTATTTGACAGAGAGAGACACAGTGAGAGAACGAACACAAGCAGGGGGAGTGGGAGAGAGAGAAGCAGGCTCCCCGCTGAGCAGTGAGCCCGACACCGGGCTCGATCCCAGGACCCTGGGATCATGACCTGAGCCGAAGGCAGACGCTTAACGACTGAGCCACCCAGGCGCCCCTAGCATTCTTTTTTTCTACCATGGCAATGTCTTTTTTGCATAATATGCCTTCAAGTCTATGCATATAATTCAGAACAATAATAAAAATTTTTCCTTTCTCTTTCTTTAGGCTCCATTAAATGACCCCTGTGCATGTGCCTCTTTTATGGGTTTGAAGGCTTCCACCAATAAATACCATCTCGTACGAGCAATATTGGAGTCAATAGCTTTCAGGTACCAAAACCTGCCCTAAACTCTCCCTTCCCCATACAGTATTGCCATTTCCTTCTATTAATTTCTGCTAAACTAAATTATGAAATTTATTAATTTTAACTGAGTGTTTATACCTTTAAATTCATACTGTTTATGACATAATCTGCTTTTATTGCTAATTTCCTTAGCATCTCTTTTTTTTTTTTTTAAGATTTTATTTATTTATCAGAGAGAGAGAGCATGCACGAGCAGGGAAAGTGGCAGGCAGAGGGAGAAGCAGGCTTCCCACCGAGCAAGGAGCCTGATGTGGGACTCGATCCCAGTACTCTGGGATCATGGCCTGAGCTGAAGGCAGACACTTAACTGACTGAGCCACCCAGGCGCCCCAGCATCTCTTTTTTATATGTAATAGTACCGGTACCATTTACATTTGATATCTGAAAATAGATGATTTTTAAAAATACAGTTAGCCCTTGAACACCATGGGTTTGAACTGTGCAAGTCCACTTACATGTGAATTTTTTTCAGTAGATACAGTACAGTACTGTAAATAAATGTATTTTCTCTTCCTTGTGATTTTCTTAATAACATTTTCATTCTCTAGCTTACTTTATTGTAAGAATAAAGTATAAAATACATATAACATACAAAATATGTGTTAATTGACTGTTATCAGTAAGACTTCCTGCCAACGGTAAGCTATTAGTAGTTAAGTTTGGGGGGAGTCAAAATTTACACACGGATTTTTGATTTTGTGGTGGGTTAGTATCCGTACACCCTGTGTTATTCAAGGGTTGACTGTATCTAATTTCTTAGGCATAAAAGATTTAAAATTTGGACTTTCAGAGATTTTTGTATCCTTACTGATAAAGGAGACTTTCAAAGGTTTTTGTTTCCTTACTGATAAAGGAGAATTCTAATTATTCTAATTAATAATGCTCCCATTATACTCAAAGATTGAATCACCAGAATTACTCTTTTTGTATATTTCCCTGTGGTCTTTTTATTATGGCACAGTTGTAGTTTATTAAAATTAAGAATGTGGCTATCATGAATATGGAACATTTGGAACATTTAAAATAAAAATGTGATTACAAAATGATTATTTTTATATTTGATGAATTCTATTAGATGTTATTCATGTTATATCATCTTAATAGCTTTCTATTAAATGAATGCTTGCTTTAAATTTTTATTTGTAGGAAGAATATTAGATTAAATTTATTTCTAAACGAAAAATATGCTTCCTTTTATCAAGTGAAAAGTACAAGGCCCGAAACCTCTTGCTTGTTTGAGCATTTATTATTGACTTCCAGTTAGCATAATATATTTGAATATATTGGTTTAATGTTCTCTTTTGTATATTTTATATACCATATAAATAAAACCATAGTTTTTATTTTTCTAGACTGGAAAAAATAGAGAATTTTCTCTAAATAGTTATCTTGACTTTTTTACTAGAAACAAACAGTTATATGAGTTGATGCAGAAAGAGATCCATATCCCTGTGACAAAAGTCCGGTATGTAACTTTGTTTTCAATAGATTTAATTAGAAATTGGAAGTGAGTGGTAACCGCTATTAGTATTTTCATCATTATGATTATTCAGGATTTAAAAAATACATTATGCCTAGTTTCTTTGCAACAAAATTCTTGGTCCTAGGAATTTGGAAAGAAAAGGAAAGCTAATTTTGGATATGGAGAATATAACACAATATAGAATTTAGGAGGATCCTATTATACGTTTGTATATTATAAACATCTTTAAAATCTCTTTTTTGGATCTGTGGCTGTCCTTTTGGCATGGAAGCATCAAATTTTCTTTGCTGGTATGTCCAAATGAATTTTTATGTTGGCTTAGTTTACTTGGCCTGTTTTGAACTAGTCTTAGGACAAGCAGGGCGGGTGGGAAGATTGATGTCAGGGATAAGGAAAAGGGTTTGAAGATTACCTAGTGAGTAACTTTATCTTCAGGTCAATGGGAAGTGATATAATTTTGGAATTAAAAAGTTGAACTTAAAAAAATAAAACCAAGAATCTAAAAAAATATATGTGGCCCTTTTAAAAAAAATTAATAATGTTTTTATGCTTCTGTTGGAATAATTTATCTCAAATATCTTGCTCCCTACAGGGCAGATGGAGGAGTTTGTAAGAACAATTTTGTTATGCAGATGACTTCAGACCTGATTAATGTGAATATAGAGAGACCCATCAACTTAGACATGTCCTGCCTTGGTGCAGCTTTTCTAGCTGGCCTTGCTGTTGGTATGTGTGGATTTTATAAAAGCGAGAACTGTCTTGAAAGCCATTTCTTGCCAATAGCATTTCTCTTCCCAATTCACAGAATTATAGAGCGGGTCTGGAAAACCTTGGTGTCCATTAAGCTCCATACACATATGCACATAACTCACAAAATACTCATTTGACCTCTTCTGTGGATGGGTCTTCCCCCTCCCACCGCCACCCTCCTCACTTCACTCCTTCAGTCAGAATTATGAGGCAAGGTAAACTAATTTTCAACTGCTCTGTCTTCAGCAAAGGGAAAGTCTCTGGGTAAACTTCCTGAGTAGATAGGCTTTTCTTTGGCATTAGAAACCACTCCATTCTTTTACATATTGAAAATTTGTTGAGTACCTGCTACATGACCGTCGCTGCTGGGAATAAAGAGTTTAAAAGACATAGTCCCAGACGAACCATGAGAGACTGTGGACTCTGAGAAACAAACTGAGGGTTCTAAAGGGAGGGAGCTGGGGGAATGGGTTAGCCTGGTGATGGGTATTAAAGAGGGCAAGTACTGAATGGAGCACTGGGTGTTACATGCAAACAAGGAATCATGGAACACTACATCAAAAACTAATGATGTAATGTGTGGTGATTAACATAACATAATAATTAAAAAAAAAAAGACATAGTCCCTGCTATGGGAGTCTCTAGTTACAGCCAGACAAGTCAACCAATTATTATACCTGTGTGATAAACCCAGCGAACAGCCATAGCTTTAAGCAAGTGGTGCAGGCTTCCCAGAGGAGGCTCAGTTTTGAAGGAGTTAGCAGACAGCCAGGAGAGGCGGTAAGGAGTCCTAAGAGGTGAGTGGTCCAATAAAGAAAGCAGCTTGTGCAAATGTCCCAGCCCATTACAGTAAGTGCTGATAGGGGAAGAGCAAGAGGAACGGCTGGAGAGGAACAGAGGTCCAGTTGTGGTAGACTCCTCATACAGAGGGGTTTGAACTTAATCGTGAAGGCACTGGAGAGCCACTGAAGAATTTTAGGCAGGGGAGGGACATGGATAGATCTATATTTGAACAGACCACTTTGGCAATTAGTGAGAGGATTAGTTGGGAGGGTGAAGAATGGACTCCAGGAGGCCAGTTAGAGGGTTCCCTAGGAAGTAGGATGCTGATGTGGGGCATTGGGATTATTTAATACATTCCTGTATGGAAGGGAAGAATGTACAAAACAGGATATTTTGCAGTTAAAAGTTTTAGGCTAATATGTAGCATTTTAAAGTTACAAATCCAAAAAGTTTGAAATCTTGTTAAGTTCAACTTAAACTTTATTCTACTAAAAATCTGTTAACTTTGAATAAAATTGAAACAATCACTTTCATTTGTTCTTTGACTAATGTGTGATTAATTCAAGTTGAAGAAAATAACTTTCCCTTAAATAATCATTTCCATTTACAAATTTAGTTAAATTCCTTTGTATATTTCAACTAATACACATTTAATACAATTGACTTTCTTTTTAGTAATTTCATATGCCTAACTGAGCAAGCTTAGAAGTGTAACAAAGAAAATCTTCTCAGGTACTTAAACAACTCTTGCAAAATGAATAAATTAAGCTTATATTTGCAGTAAATCAAATGCTCATAAACATTCTGATATTGTTTATAAAGTAGATCAAATTTTTCTGTGCCTTTTCAGCTTATAAGACTAAATATGTCAGATTCTCTTGAACATTTTAAATACTTTAAATAACAAACACGTACAGATTATTTTTTTTTTAAGATTTTATTTATTTATTTGACAGAGAGAGCAAGAGAGCACAAGCAGGGGGAGCAGCAGAGGGAGAAGGAGAAGCAGGCTCCCCGCTGATCAGGGAGGCTGATGCTTGATCCCAGGACCCTGAGATCATGACCTGAGCCAAAGGGAGATGGCTTAAGCGACTGAGCCACCCAGGCGCCCCCATATGACAGATTATTCTTAAACATAACACAGTGGCTTGAGCTTTAGCTATTTCATCATATCTATACTTAATTTCAAACCTTTCTAATACAGAGACTTCACTAACTACAGGGAGCAGTTTTACCGTCTCAGAAAAGCTGAGATTTCTGGTTGACTTGCTTCTCTTTAAGGAATCTGAGACTTGAAGGCTATGCACATCCTCTGTATTTTCAAAATTCACCCAGGAAATGAGTCTATCTGATACATACTTAATAAAATTACTTGAAAAAATATGTATGTCCTGGAGTGCCTGGATGGCTCAGTCGGTTAAGCATCTGATTCTTAATGATTTCAGTTCAGGTCATGATTTCAGGGTTGTGAGATTGAGTCCTGTGTTGGGCTCTGTGCTCAGTGCAGAGTGCTTAAGATTCTCCCTCTCCTTCTCCCTCTGCCCTTCCCCCAGCTCACACTCTAAATCAATCAATCAATCTTCAAAAAAAAAAAAAATGTATGTTGGGGCGCCTGGGTGACTCAGTCATTAAATGTCTGCCTTCGGCTCAGGTCATGGTCCCAGGGTCCTGGGATCAAGCCCCACATGAGGCTCCCTGCTCCGCGGGAAGCCTGTTTCTCCCTCTCCCACTCCCCTTGCTTGTGTTCCTTCTCTCACTGTGTCTCTCTCTGTCAAATAAATAAATAAAATCTTAAAAAAAAAATGTATGTCTTAACGAGTAAATAATTCTGGAAATAAGGATTCTAAGAACATGCTTATTTTCATGACTAGACTTGTCTAACTTTAGTATACTAATAAAAACTATTTTTAGTCTTAATAACATCTATAAATTAATATCTTTGAATATAGATGAGTCTAAAATGCTGACTTAGTTAGAAAGAAAGTGGTCTGATAGAAAATTTGAGAGGAAGGAATTTTGTGTCTGCTTTATTGGTAAGAGAAAATATCCTTCAAGAAGACTTGTCAACTGTGTTAGTACTTCAGAGTAAGTGAACTATACCAGGTTAATTAATAAGACACCTCGGCCATTTCAGACTACTTATGGTCATAGTTATAAATGTGTTTTCTTGCTGCTTTTTATTATAAATCACATGATCCTCTTTGTGAAGAACAATATAATCATGAAGTGGGATTTAAATAACTTGTGTGAGATACAATAGTTTGAAATAGAAACTAATTATATGCAGTCCCACTTTTGAATTTATGCATATCCCAGGGAGTTGCCTCTTACCTCAAGATATATGACAAAAATCCTAATTTATCTTTGTTTTCTTTTTAGTTATGTAAAACGAAAATACACAACTTCTTACTCGTTTTCTTTTCTTCATAGAAAGTCACGAAATTGAATGATGATAGGGAGAGGTTGGTCTAGAAATGGTTTGGTGTCCTGCCACACAGAAATAAAGCTGATAGAAACCAAATGATTTTAAAATCCTGGTGTATTTATTCCCATGGATAGTCAATCTAACAAAATTCAAAAGCACTAAAATATTTCAAATTGTGTTTTAAAACAGTTGTTTACCTGTGCACCTGTTTGCGTAGGTTTGTGGATAAACTTTATGGACTCCTTCTCTGCCTTAAAATTTGAGAGTAATTTTTTTCTATCTATAGGGTTTTGGACTGACAAGGAGGAACTAAAGAAACTGAGGCAAAGTGAAGTGGTTTTCAAGCCACAAAAGAAATGGCAAGAATATGAAATGAGTATGGAAAACTGGGTCAAAGCAGTGAAACGCTCCATGAATTGGTATAACAAGATGTAGCTCTAACTGGAACGACTGAAACCATATACGGCTAGTTGATACGACACGCAGATGAGACACAGCTCAGGGATAATAACCAATACGACAATGAGAAGATTTCAGATGAGCTCTGCAACCTGAGAGAAAAAACATTGCTTTTTTGAATACGAAACAAAACAAAAAATCCCTCATTTTAAAATCTAAACCTTGGTAAGATTGTAAGGCAACAGTACCTCAAAACTTTGTATCTTCTGTTTTGTAGCAAATTCCAAAGGACGTTCGCCATTTCCAGCCATATTTTGACAGCTGTGGGTCTTCCTCCTTTTTATACTCGGTCAGCGATACATACGAACGTAATTGTTTACTATCTGAGTTAATAGTTCTGGGTCAAGCATCATTCATGTTTTGTTCCAAAATTAACAAGTGTTCCTTTAATTCTTTAAAATTAAATGGGCTATATGAAGTTCACATAGCTAGAAAGAAAGACTCACTGAGGAAATGTGGAATTTTGCAACATTAATATTTTATATTTAAAGCCATAATTGTTCAATACTATATCCAAATATGAGCTCGATATAGGCTCACATAGGCTTATTGTTAGTCATTTCTTTCCTTTATTGGGCTTAAAGACACTGCCTTAGTTTTTCCTTGTTTTCACTAAAATCTGAGCATTCTTTTTGTATTGAAAAAATAACTTTAGTGAATGAAACTACAGAGGGTAATGATTCATAAGGAAAAAGAAAATATTTTCTTTCTCAAATATTTGAAAGAAAAGGATTTCTTTCAAAAACTTCTGGCTAGAGTGTAACATCCCATTTTTTACAAAATGCGGGTAGTGGATACAAATCTTGCTTTGCTCTTCCTGTTCTTTATCTTTGTTGTTGAAGTGCTTGCATAAATATCTTTTGCTTTTATTAAGTGCCTAATTGACAGAGCTTAATTTGAAGAAAGTGCCCTAATTCATTGGTGACATAAGAATTGTCTTCATTGGGGTATTTCACTTATCCAGGTATCTTTTACTTCCGTTCAATCTATTCATTTCTGTGAGATAGGAGCAGTGGGTAGCTGACAGAGGTAATGGGAGTGTATTCATGCAAATGATTGCCCTACAGTTACTGGGCCAGAGCTCCACAGAGAGGAGCAGGGACAGTTCCACATTCTCAGACTTTCTTGATAGAAACAAATGTAAAAGAATCAAGAGTTGTGAGTAGCTTCAGGCCCCATGTAAAACTGTCCTATGGCAGTAGACTACCCTCCAGCTTGTTCTTATGTTATTTGCCCCTCCCTCCTCCACTTGGGCTAGGTTCCATTTCAATTTGTAGCAATAATGAATTTATTTCCCTCTTAGTTGGGCTTTTTTATATAAAGGCCTACTGTTACAGAGCTAGTTGTTAAGTGCTAATGTAACTTCAAAAGTGACTGTTACAGGGAATTTTGTTGTTGCCATCATATATGTCCATTTCAGTGACAGATATGATAGAACTAGGTGTCACACTGCATTTCTACAAATTGCATTTCAGTGAACTTTGTCTTCTTGAAGTATTAAAGTTTTTGATAGAATCATAATAGCCAATATATAGTATCATTAACTCCATTAATTAAGATTTGGAAATATTTTTGTGAAGTGGAGGTATTTTGTTTACTGTAAAAAGTCAGATTCCATTATGTAGATAATATTCTTCTTTTTATTCTTTTCATTTTTCTTATGGCCCTTTTACAAAGCTTAGTGACCAATTATAGGCCGTTTTATCAAAATCAGATCACACGCAAGCTGCTCCATTGTTTTACTGTTTCTTACAGATTCTGCTTCTCAGTGGGTATAATTTCATAGTAAAGAACTGTCTCTTTGTGTTAGGATATACTGAATTGTAATATTATTAATACTTAAGAATTTGTTAGCTCATTTCTTTTTCATATTCTCTCTCATCATCAACCACAAAATAAAGGATAAATACCTTTTAGATAATGTGAAAAAGTAATTGTGAACATGTCTCATCGGAATTGAGCATCTCCTCAAAAATCAGTGGCTAATTTTTTCTTCTGTTAGTCTAGAATTAATCTTTTATTTTTACTACATCTGGCTGTTTTTTAGTGACACAATTTAGTAGATCTTTTGCCATATTTGACCTAAGTCAGAAACGTGACCACATTTGCTTTTGTGGTTGTAGAAACAGTTGACATTCAAAATCAGTTGAGCAAAAAAATTTATCGTTTCCATCCTCCAAGTTTATTTTCATTTATATGCTAATATTTGCATATTTGCAGTTTAAAATATTTGCAGTTTAAAAAAATTTGTGCTAACATTTCTCAGCATGTTTTATTTTCCCATTATGGATCAATCAGATATTTTTAGGAGGTCTGTAGCTATCTTTTTAAGTAGGAGAATGTTTCTGTACAATCCTTCTTAAAGTGGTACTAAGTGCTTTCATACCTAGACTTACTGATTTTTAATTGTTTTGTATCCCACCATAATACGGTTTCTCAATCTCAGCATTATTGACATTTGGGACAGGTAATTCTTTGTCTTGGGTTGTTGTACTGTGCATTATAGGGTATTTGGCAGCTCTTTACCTGCTAGCTACCAGTAGCATCCCCCTAGTTGTTGTGGTTAAAAATGTTTCCTAGCACTGCCAAATGGACCCCAGGAGGCAGTATCACCCCCAGTTGAGAACCACTACTATACAATCTTAGAAGAAAATTGAAGACTCAGCAAATGTAGTGTATCTATCATGCTCCTTTTCTCTCTGCCTCATTTTACCTTAGGAAATGGTAGTTAGCAAAAAGAGGTGGTTGTATCTTAAAATAAATAGGGTTTCTACTTTACTGGTTAATGAGGCAAAAAAAGAAAAATCTTATGTTGTAATTGCCTTCTGCTGTTTTTACTCACTCACCCCTGTCCCCATTCCTGCATCCTCTGTGGTCTTAATGAGTGGGTTTATGACTTCAGTATAGGATTAATGTAGTCTGCAGAGCATCTTGATTTTATCTGCCTTTTTGCTTCCTTTTCATCTCTGAACAAAAGAGATGATCACTCTCTTTTATCTGCCTCTGTGTAAGATTCCCATCAAACTGGAAGTTCCGCAAAAGCAGAAACCATGTCGGGTGCGTCGGTGGCTCAGTTGGTGAAGCGACTGCCTTCGGCTTAGGTCATGATCCTCGAGTCCCAGGTTCAAGTCTGCATCGGGCTCCCTGCTCAGTGGGGAGTCTGCTTCTCCCTCTGACCCTCCCCCCCTCTCATGCTCTCTCTCTCTCTCTCTCTCTCTCTCATATAAATACAATCTAAGAAAAAAAAGCAGAAACCATGTCTGCTTCCACAGAACTTAACTGTGTGCCTTCCTATTGATATGGTGAATTTTTACTTTATAAGCGCAACTTTTTTTGCATATGTATTTTATCCCTGATTTATATACATTTGTTGGTAAGGAGCAGCTTATATTTGTTGCAAGTAAAATATATTTTGTTGGATTAAGAAGGACAACAGTTGACCCTTGAACAACATGGGTATGAACTGTGCAGGTCCACTTATATGCAGATTTTTTCCATAAATATATGTACCATACTGTGAATGTATTTTCCTTATGATTTTCTTAATAACATTTCCTTTTCTCTAGCTTACTTTACTGTAAGAATACAGTGTATAATGCCTATAACATACAGACTATGTGTTAATTGTATTATCAGTAAAGATTCTGGTCAACAATAGGCTATTAGTAGTTAAGTTTTTGGGGAGTCAAAAATCATATACAGATCTTTGTGCAGGGGGTCGGCACTCCTAACCCACATGTTGTTCAGTGGTCAGCTTATGAGAGCTAGAATCCTCCTACTGTTTATTTTTAAATTCTTCATATGTTTATGTATTTCCATATGTGTTTGTATAGAGATACACATCTATAAATACACATAACTATATCAACTTTCTAAGGTACAGTTGAAGGCTTTCCATTCACCAGTTTTGTGTATTTGACTGCAGACAGCTCACAGATTGAATCTTAAGAATGCCAAACCCTCTGATGTTAGAGGGAAGTAACTTCAGAAACATCCCCTTCTGCAGAGGACTTATACTGGGGACCAGTCTTCATTGAAAAATAATCTAACCCAGGAGTTTGGCAAGAATTTTATAATTCTCCGAAGAGAGGACCCTGGAGTTCTTCAACTTGAAGTGATTCTGGAGTCATCCAGACATAGCCTAGAAGGCTTGAATCTACCCCAAAGGACTCTGAATTCCTTTGGGAAATCTAGATCATGTTTCTCAGTTAGAATTAAAATATACTCTGGACCTACCTGACCCCAGAATCATCTTCTTGCATACCCAATGCCAGGTCATCTGGTTCAAACCAGTCAAAATGGTAACCCCAAGGAAGTCAAGTAGGTGATCCTTGTTTGTTTTTAAGTTTTGGAGCCTCATAGCCATAGATATTTTGGTACCAGCACTGGTTCTAAGTCACTGGCTATATTGTCACCATATTCCCATGGGACCCTTGCCCTTAGGGTAATGCAGGAATGATCTTGGGAGTGGGAATGTTAGAGACAGGAACCTGAAGAATCAGATACTTCTGAAATTTTCTGTATGCTATTTCTACTACCTTTCCCCCCTTTATTATAAATGTGGTTTATTAAAATAAAATGGCTGTCTGTATAGATATCTATACTATTTAGAAAATAAATGATGCAAGGTTTCAATTTAAATGAGCCATATCGTCACAAGAAACTTTGAAACTGTTCCAGAGTAGCTGTACCATTTTATATTACAACCAGCAGTGTATGAGTGATCTAGTTTCTCCATATCCTCACCAGCATTTGATATCACAATTTTTTATTTAGCTAGTGTGATAGGTGTGAAGTTTTCTCATTGTGGTTTAATTTGCATTTCCCTAAATAATAATGATGTTTAACATCTTTCCATGTGTTTTTTTTGCCATCTGTTTATCCTCTTCAGTGAAATGTCTGTTCATGTCCATTTGCTAATTGGGGTGTTTGCTAAATGAGCCATATCTTTACATGAATATCTTTTTAAAAAACTTTTAAAATCAGTACGATGACTTAAGAATTCATCAAGTAGCATTTCTAAATCCTTCTAGGCAAAGTGTATACAGCACTTGAATGTGATTTTATAATGTACTGAGCAGAAGAGTTCTCACATTCCCTCTGTACTTATTATGTAGTATAGTACTAATACTGTATAACAGCAAAAAAGTTTCAAAGATACTTTTACCTAGAATGTTAAGTAGGGTGTACAAATACGTATTTTGTCCATAGCTATCATAATGTTTGTAATCTCTTTTTAAAATAAGCTGACTTGTGTTTCAGAATGATTTTGTGGAAAAATAATTTGAAATTTTCCTATTCGTGCAAGACAGTTAATATATTTTCTAGTTCATATGCATTGGCAAATTCATAATCTTATTTCTCTGATGTTCTTTACAAATTTCATAGTTTTATTAGATCGTCATTGAGAACCTAATAAATCAATGTTGAGATCTACAAATACAGTCTAAGATGCACAGCAATAGAAATGGGTATGTGAATTTTTCCCTTAACGTTTTTCTACTTTATTTTTGGATTTATTTTTTAATTTCACCTGGAAATTCTTATTTAATACTATTTCCTGTTTTGGTTTCTGCACATAAGAAGGTCACAGAGGAATTGGGGCACCTGGCTGGTTCAGTTGGTAGAGCATGCAACTCTTGATCTCAGGGTTGTGAGCTTGAGCCCCACATTGGGTATAAAGATTACTTAAAAATAAAATCTTAAAAAAATAAAAAAGAAGGTCACAGAGAAATAAGCATGTGGTAACTACAAGATAAATTTGAGCTAAATATGGTTAGAGAAGAAAGGTTTTCTGTAGCCCTGCCTCTTTAGATCCTATTAGGCTTATCATTCATATTGTACATTCTTGCACAAGGGAAATTACCAGAGAAGAGGGTCAATTCTTTGTGGTAGGAAAAATGATATAATTTGTTGTGAAAGTATACTGTATTTTTAAATACTTAGATTTTAAATAACGAGGAAAAATGATTTCAAATACTAACATGATAGAATTAACCTAGCAGTTGTTAAAAATCCCTTCTGAAAATTATCTAAAATTATTTGGGAAACTACAATGAAACAGTAAATGATTTTTTCTATACATATTACGTATTAAGGCCATTTCTATTTAGCATTTCTCTGTTCATTGCTTTGGTTTGCACACATGCACAGCAGCAACGTCTGGATAGTGAAGGATTCAGTCAGTCTGGATTCCATTCCCTGACTGTAGTGAGGAATGGTATCATTCCAAAGTAGGAAATTTGAAGGATGATAAACATTCACTTATTAGAAGGAAGAGAGGGGTTTTCTTTTAATTTTATTTTAGGTCAAAGTAATATTAGTCTAAAGAGGATAAGGAAGGCGGGCATCATGGAGATACGTGGAGATGGCTTTTCTGAAATTCATTTTATAGCAATACTTTTAAAGAATTTTGCAACTGTAAAAAATTGAAGGAAAAAAATGGGGGTGGTAGGGAGTAATACTGGATTTTTTGCTACTTAGAAAAAGAAACAACCCATCAAGAGGTGGAGATTGTAGGGCGGATACATTGGCTTTGCTAAATCCCCTTCCCCCTCACCCCCCATTAGGGCAAGAATCTTAGCTACTGGATCCCAGGGAGTTCTCATATCCTCTAACACAGTCCATAAGGCTCTGGTCCTGTCTCTCCTAGAAAGTCCTGTCTCTGTCAGCATCTCAGGTTCATCACCAAACACTGTCAAGAACTGAGAAGAGTTTGAAGTTTGACTCTACTTGGAAACTAAGAAGTTAGCCTCCCACAGTTCCATGGATATTGGCAGAAGATAGGAGACTCCTGGGTCAGAGATTAAGGACTTTATTACTCATAGGCATAGCAAACATCACAATCTTCATATTTGCATTGGTTTCCTGTGCTTCTCAACTCCCCCATGGAGCAGTCCAGATTGATGCTGTGCACGCAGTGAGTCTGTGGTACAGCGGAGGAATCTCAAGCTTAGGAAACTTGTCTTTTGTAATGGGCTGCAAGTATATGTGTCTGATGCTTGCTTCAGAGGAAATTATTATATTGGACAGTAAACAAAACTGCCCTCTACTCTGGCGGGAGACACATATTTGGCAACAAAGGCCTCAGTGCCTCTGCTTGCAAGATAAGCAGAAATGAGAGAGCCACGTAAAATGGACTCTCAACAAT